ATATAGAAGAAGGAATTTTTAGAATTTAGGTTTGCCAGAGGTTTGGGCTCACCACTTCTCTGCGTGATGGTAGCTTGTGTAGCATGTGCATGTTCCTGCAGCACATGCTGCAACTGCACAGCCTCCTGCATAGATCAGGGATGAGTCTTTCCTTAATTTATTTTTCTTTTAGAAGAAGTTTTTCAAGTTAGTAACTGATGAATTTGAAGTGTCAGTCTTTCTCTCCCCTAGCTTTTTGGCAAAACTTAGCTGCCGCTGAACTTCTGTTGAAATAATGTAGAAATTAGTTGTGTGGGGGTGATTATCGTTTTGGAGTCACTGGGAGGAATAAAACTAAGGAGGGAGAATCAAAATGTGATACAAACTGAAATTGTTAAGAGAACTCTAAAGTCACGTTAAATGTTAATTTTTTAAAACAAAGAGGGGGACATAGTGGTGCCTCCCAACTTGGTAAGAAGGCAGGACGGACACCTTTCCTTTGAGATTGTATAATCGATGGACTGAGCATTAGCTACCTCTTCACTGACTGGGCAAAAGTCTTACACTACGTGTCATAACCAAAGCAGGCGGGTCGGCGGCCGCCGGGCGATGTCCCGTGGCCGTGAAGAAGCCAGCAGCTCGTCCCGGCGGCGTTCGGGGCGGCGGTTGGCCGTTCCCCCGGCGCGTCCCGGCTGATGGCGAGGAGGAGCCCCAGTAGCCGCTCCCCGGGATGCCTTACGGGGGCGGACACGTCGCTACCTCTACCGAACGGTGGGCGAGGCGCGCCCCGGTGCCGGTGCGGTTTCCCCCAGCGGCAGCCGCTGTAGCAGTGCCAAGTCTTCTAATAAACGTGCTGCTAACTCTGTCTGCCGCCGCCTCTCATTTCCACCGCGGTCACGGCGCACCGGGGGCGGGCGGGCGGAAGGGGCGGGCGGGGAAGCGGTTCCGGGGCGCTGCGGCACCGGCGGCGGAGCGGCACCGGCTGCGGGAGCGACCGGGGAGCGGGGCGGAGCGGGATCGCGGGCGGCGGCGGGCGGCCCGGGAGCCCCGGGACAGTGGGTCCTGCCGGCGGCGGGGGGGGG